CCCCCATATACTGCGCAGACCCCCCCACAATAAGGCACTGACCCCCCCAATGAGGCACAGACCCCCCAATACTGGACAGCCCCCCCCCCCCAATAAGGCACAGACCCCCCTGATGGCTGAGAGTGTTGGGAGCAAGGCTTACCTGATGGATGTCTGGATGCAGTGGATCAGACACCGCGCATGCGCACTCAGGGGTAGGAGATTTCTTAGCAGAAGATATGGCCATCAGATTGCTATACCCCCTCAGTGCGCATGCGCGGTGTCCGTGGCTTTCCTGGCTGGGTAGGCGCGTGCGCAGTGTGGGGCAGGGAGATCGGATGAATGTTCGGCTGAATCGATCTCCCTGCCCGCTGGTGCGCACGCGCGGTGTATCCCGCTGTCTGTGCCCGACGGGAGTACTTAGACGCGCGTGCGCACTGGCCCCTACCTCCCCCGCCTCTTGTCTCCAGGCGCAGGCGCAGTGTTGTGTTCGCGCATGCGCATTAGGCGGCCTCCTCTCCTCTCACTGCCTGTAAATTTTACCTACCTGATCTTCTGCGCATGCGCGGCGCTGCGCTCCTCCTCCTCCAGCTGTTCAATGAAATTACCGGTGCGGCCGCGTCACTTCCGGTGCGGCCGCGTCACTTCCGGTATACCAATCTGACAAGGTATACTTATCTGACGGAACACCTGAACTAGATCGTGACTGATCCCTGCCAGTCGCCGTACTGCCGCAAAGAATGTAGGGAAGTGTAGTTCTCTGCAAGGATGTTAGACGAACTAATGGGCTTCTCTCTGATTCGCTGAGAATTCTGGGTATTTGATGTTTGCTTGGATGGGAACTGGCATGGATGTTTACATGTATCCCTGGGAGGCAGATAAAGGGCGCTGCAGCCTGGTTTAGACTGAAGGGGATGCACATAATTTATTTATTGTGATAATATATTGTCAGTACATTGATAAACCTATCCATGACCGAGCAAAAATTATAGAATTACAACTCCCATCTTGTTTTTCCATTCTTAAAGCTTTATGGGAGTTGTAGTCCTACAAAAGCTGGGTATTAAGTTTAAAACACAAAGAATATATACACACAAGTGAAGATATGTATATAGAAGGAAATCTCTAACAAACTAAAATGCAACCTGTCATAAATGAAATATTGCAAAACAATCTAGGAGAGGAAAATCACAAACTCTCCTATAGTGTAATATTAACTAGGAACAATATAAGAGGAAAGGGGAGGTAGAGCACTCACAAGATGGAAGGCACATCTCCCCATGGGAGTATATCCTGGAATGATATCTTGAAATGGTATCTTGTTGTTACTGACTTTAGCACACCCCTGGTTACATGGCAAATGTCATTAAAATCTACCAGTAGGCCTGTCCACAGACAAGCAGAGGGGCTCTATGCCAGGACTCCCTTGGTACCATTTACCGCAAGCACTTTCAGCCAATCATTGTTGTCCTGGTTGGGCAAGATTGACATTGCACAAGTGTTAACCCTTTAAAGGTTACTTCCAGCAATATAATCACTATAGCCCAATGTAGTGGTTTATGATGCCAGGAGTACCCTGGCCCAGTTCCCCAGTAACAGGGGCAAATCATTTAGTAACGGGTTTGGTCTCTTCCCTGGCTCTGAGGCTCCCTGTTGCTGTGGTTATGCGCTTCGGCCAAAGCAGTCGCCATTCATTGGTTGAGAGGATTGGCTGACCCTCTCAGGCAATGAATGGCACAATGTGCAAAAAGGAAAATACTTGAAAGGGTCAATATAGGCACCAAAACAACTTTAGCTTAATGAAGCAGTATTGATGAATAGATCTTGTCCCTGCAGTCGAACTGCTTAATTTTCTGCCATTTAGGAGTTTAAATCACTTTGTTTATTACCATTGCAATCTTAGGGCGTGCTATACCGTCCTACAAAAGGAGGGCTTTAAGAAGTTATGGTAGCATAGCACCCTGTCCTGACTTGATAAATCTAAAATGCCCATTTGTAGCCAGTAGTGGATTCACATATTTATAGAATTTAATGCCATTTTGTGACCACTTTGGTGGGATATAGTATTTAAAAAGCAGTTTACCAGTAGATTTCACAAGGGATTCGTCAATACAAATGTTTTGGCCATTATGTAGAGCTTGTCAAACATTGTGTCACTTTTAAGGCGACACAGTGCATTATTGTTAAAATGGAGGAATCTAAGCATTTGCTTAGATCCCTTTTCATGGCCCCTTGAAAAAGAGGGGTAGGAAGCATGGGCGCTTGTGCGAGTAGGACCTAAAATTGGCTTTTTCATAATATCCATTAACCCCTTAAGGACCAAACTTCTGGAATAAAAGGGAATCATGACATGTCACACATGTCATGTGTCCTTAAGGGGTTAAAAGGGTGAGTGCACACAATTTTCTGATTTTTGTGATGTTGATGGGGTGCCACATATTTTTCCTATTGTAGTGTAACTTCAGATTTGCAGAAAGACACTGGCTGGCGTACAAGTTGGTTTGCTCAGCCAACAGCTCAAATATATTGTCCGACATAAAAAGCCTAAAATTCACTGGCTCACAAACATCTACTGTTGTTGTGAAGCCAGTTGTAACCATGAATGGGGGTATTTCAGGGGCAGTACAGTTTGAGGTTCCCAGCTTTTATCTGGTACTGTGTGGTGTCCTCTGCGCCTTCTTGAAGATGGTTGTGGGGCACCATTACTGGGGGACTCGCTTAGGGGCCCTGTGTCATAGGGTGTAAGCGTGTCTCTGTTTGAGCCTGCCAGAATGACATAAGCCTCCTCCGCCATATAAGAGCATGCCATTTTATGGGATTTTTAATTAAAGGATCACTATAGTGTCAGGAAAACAAACCTGCTTCTTATGGAAATTGGCACTTTATGCTTTATGTCTGTGTTATTGACCTTTAAAAGAACAATACAGTGTTAGGAATACAAATGTGTATTTCCAGCATTTTAGTGCCATAGTAATGGTTTATTTGATCCTTTATATCTTTGAGTATGCTAACAGTCCTAACACACATCTCCAAACCATGTTGAGACAATTCATTTTTAATTGACTCAAATGATCCTCTTCTGTCACTGTAGTACATGTTTTTTAATTCTTCTATCATAACATATTGTTGTGCAGTTTATCCTGCCTTTACCAGTTTGATTGCGAATAGGAGTCTACAGATATCTCTTGTACTGTTTAGAAATACATTCTTATAAGTGTAGTCTTCTTCACGCAAAGTTTATTTTACATTGCTTTCTAAGTCACCAGTCAAGTCTTGAGTCAACTCTCTGTTTGTCATTTTACAATGTTACAGAGCTTACTAAGTGTAGGGAATAGAAATATTCCATGGCCAACAAGTCACTAAACAACAAAACACCAGTGGCCAACTTGATGCGTTTCACACAACAGAAATAGAGTCCTATTATTAGCTCTGATACATGAAAAAGAGAGCTGGCTCATACTAACACCTTATTGGTTCCATGCGGTGTCATATTATTATTATTATTTTTTATTATTTATATAGCGCCAGCAAAATTCCGTAGCGCTGTACAATGGGTGGACTAAGAGACACATAATTGTAACAAGACAAATAAACGCACAGGAACAGAGGGGTTGAGGGCCCTGCTCAATGAGCTTACATGCTAGAGGGAGTGGGGTATAGTGAGACAAAGGGAGTAATGAAATAGGTTGCTAAAAAAGTATTCACTGGTAATTTTTGACAGTTGCAATGGGGGGGGAATGAAAATCCGCTAACAGTTTAACTGATATGCTTTTCAAAGAAGTGTGTTGTCAAAGATTTTTTGAAGAAGTAGAGACTGGGTGAAAGTCTAATGGAGAAGGGAAGGGAGTTCCACAGAAAAGGTGCAGCCCTGAAGAAGTCTTTGAGGCGAGAATCAGATGTGGGAGTATGGACAGAAGATAGGTCTTCGGCAGAGCACAGGGGACTCGACGGGACATACTTGTGTATTAGGGAGGATAGGTAGATTGGAGCAGCATTATGTAGGGACTTGTAAGTAAGCACCAGAATCTTAAATTAAACCCTGTATCTAACTGGAAGCCAATGTAGGGGCTGACAGAAGGGGGAGGCGTGGGAGGTGCGGCCGGGCAGGAAAATTAGCCTTACCACCGCATTCATAATAAATTGCAGCGGTGCAGTCTGGGAACATGTAAGAAGGGGATTGCAGTAGTCAAGACGAGAAAGAACAACGGCATGGACCAACACCTTAGCTGTGTCTGGTGTTAGGGACGGATGCAAGCTATGTTTTTGAGATGGAAGTGGCAAGATTTGGCAATCGACTGGACATGAGGTAGAGGTAGAGGTGATGGTGGCGCCGTTGACTTGGAGGGAGACAGATAGTGATTAAGGACTATGCACACAGAGCCTATGGGGATTTTTAGATCTTAGTACAGCTTATTTGTCCAAAATAATTAACACCAGCCCAAGCATAGAATTCACAAATATTACACCAATGGAATGACAGGAATGAAAATAATTTACAGTATCTCACAAAAGTGAGTACACCCCTCACATTTCTGTAAATATTTTACCACATCCCCTCATGTGACAACACTAAAGAAATTACACTTATTAACAACTAATTGGATCTCAGTATTGAGTTAAAGGGACACTATGGTCACCTGAACAACTACAGCTTAATGAAGTTGTTCAGGTGAGATCTAAAGCTCCCTGCAGGCAATATAATGTAAACACTGTATTTTCTGAGAAAATACATTGTTAACATTGATTGATAGGAATACCTCCAGTGGCCGTCACTCAGACGGCCACCAGAGGGACTTCCTATCATGTATGGCCCTAAAAAGGC